TTCTTTTTTGTTCTTCTCTTCTTTCTCTTTTATCCTTTTTGGGGCTGTCAAGGCCATCTCTTAGCTATGTGCAACATGGGGATCTGGGAGATATGGCTTCACTTTAGAGCTTTGCTGATGTGGGGAGATGCTGTTTCTAAACAACTTCTATTCTGAGTTGCATAAAAGCTTTTCTAACCCAGAACTCCTTCTCCAGCATTGTTCGGGAGGAAATGCTTAGGGAACAGCAAAGAAACAGACTGGCTTTGCTGAACTTTGTTATGCATCATTCTAGACTCCTTCAGTCAGCAAGGCAAGGTTATTCTGAGTTGAACATGAGATCCTGATTTATGTTTGATAATAATACATAGACCAACCCTTCATAAAGATCAGGGTATCTGAATGTATTGTGACTTTACTGCTCAATTACTTTGTTTCCTCTTCTGGACAGATTAAGATACTAATCTTATTTGGAAAAGATTCCAATCTCTAATGAAAAAAACCCAACATACAAGCTCTATTTATATGTTCATTATAACAGCATGAATTTTAAAATTAATTTAAAATATTACTTTTTATGAAAAAATTCTCTTGCTCTTTATGAAATGTGAGATAAGAGATTATCAATCAAGATGAAGGAGAGAAAACAGAGGTTAGGCATTTTCTTTTTAATAATTTGTTTTCTTAAAAGCTGATAGGAAAACCAAGAATATACAGGAGTACGAAATATGGAAGGTGTATGGAAGTATTTCTTCAGTGTGAATGGATTGGATTATGAAAAACAAAGTGTTGCTAGAATTGAAAATTTTGAGACATTAAAAGGCAATGAGATAGGTTTCTACAGGTACACTGGCAACTGCACATAGGTCAGGAAAAATGTGGGGCTGCTTCTGGAACAAGTGAGTGTCCTAATGATGAGGAACATGGATTGTACAAATGCACTCAAGGCTTCCTCTCTCCCCGTCTTCATAAGAAAGCTCTGCTCTTATGCCTCCCAGGAAAGTTTGAGGAAGAGAGAGACTAGAGGGGGATAAATAAGGGAGAAGTGAATCAAGCTGGGTGTAAGCAGTTCAGTACCACAGGATGAGGTATCCAAGCATGTTGAGGAAGTTCCTTGATATCATTGTGAGGTTGTTCTGATACCTATGAAAAATCACGTCAGATGCCTGATTACTGAAGAAAGGCAAATATGACATCTCTCTAGGAGCAACCTAACCTCAAGAGACTTTTTTGTCAGTGTTCTTCAACAACGGGTAGAAATATATAGTCTTATGAGGATTAGTGGAATTTTTTTCTGCACTGAATTACACTGGAAAAAGAAAAGGAAAAAGCTATGTTGCTTTCTTTCAACTTTAAGAAAAATTCTGTTTTGTTTCTCTCCAAACTTGATGCTTGTTCTCAAGTATTGCATCTCTTAAGAAGAATGATGATTTGGTTTCAAAAGAGTTTTTACCACACTTTTAATTTAAGTCCTAGTCATAATACACAAGAGAGTACTCAAGATTGATGTCAAGCTGCAAAATGCTGTAAGCATGACAAATCTTCACGTTAATTTTTAGAATTTATTTTCTTTTGAGGGGGTGTGATTTTCTTCTGTCTTTTCCCCTTGGCATTTACTGACTTGAGAATGTTTTGCATTTTCCCTTTACTGAGTAGAAATCTGTATCCAGTACAATTCCCGAATGATTTTAAGAGGGCCTTTTTACAGTAGGAGAATATTAAAGAAGATATTAGTGTGACAGATGCCCAGCTTATTTTATAAGTGAACCAGATAAAATACAAAAATAAAAATACTGAAAAAATCTGTAAAACCTTAGGCTTCATCTCTACACCTGAGTATTCACAAAACACAGGTGAGCTTGGGTTTTAGTTCTGGTTACTGTAGATAAACATGAAAAATGAAATTTGGAGTAAGACTTGAAAATTAACAAAGAGATATCATTTCTTCTTAGTCCTTTGTCTTTTTTATATAATATGCATACAGATTTGCATTTTTAGCAAGATTTTAGCATATGTATTGATAATTAAATTTATTCTTTCTCTTAGTATATATTATTGTGTTGAGGTTCTTGGTGAAAAGGAAAAAAAAACACTTCTTTTGAAATAAAAAAACAGGCTAATTTATGTTTGATCTTGAAGTCCTTGTCTTTGGAGTTGTTTGATCTTTGGAGTCCTTCCCTTTGCCAAGGGAAAAAAGCTGAGAAATTAATGTCAACATCAAAAAATTGCAATGGAAATTACTAGCTGAGTTAAGAACAGAAAGACAATTCTATGTCCTTAATCCAGTTTGCACAAAATATTTAATGCCTCTGAAAATGGATCATTTCAAAATTGACACTAAAGTATTTTGCCTGTTTAGTCTAATTAATCAGTCATAATAACACATCATAAAAAATTACATAGGTAAACTCATTCTTATTCTGAAAGTTTTGACTATGCCCTGGCATGAACCAGAGTGTGTAGGTAGATGATTCTGACTCAGAAGTGTCAGTCCTAAAAGCTGAGAACTTTATCCCTTTGGAATGATTCAGTGTGTGAAATTAGGAACCCAGGGCCTCCTGTCAGTCAAGGAAAGCCATTAAGCATCCCTGGGGAGTGATCCTGGGAGTACTCATGCTCCAGAACATCACTTACTGTGAGTAACTTAAACAGGGATGCGTGACCTAATTCCTTCTTGGTTTGCCATGAATGGCTATAAATGAGTGTACAAAGCTCTGAGCAGTTCCTAAAGGTGGATCACCTCACTTAAACAGAGCTCATTCTTTGTAAAAGGTTGTGCAGAGCTGTCAGAAAGTGGTAAAGTAGTTGATTTATGCAATTTCTAACTCAAGGAGACAGGTCATCTGGGCTGGGCGTTAGGTTCCATGTGAAAACGGGTACTTAGCTATCAGCTCCCCTCAGTTGTATAAACCCTCTAAAAATAAATAATAGGTGTAAAAATAGCTAATTAGATAACTAATTAGTTATGGTATAACTATTTTCCAGCATTAGAAGAGCCTGTAGTTCATTAATGGCATTGAATTGTTTACCACTTTTTACAAGGACAGCTTAGACAGTGGACTGCAGCTGCACAGCCAGCTGAATTCAGAAGTCTAATCCATAGATTTAACTTCACTGAAGGCTTCCATTGTCTGCTCAGCCTGAAGGAATCCCAAACTAGTTCTGTTCCCCCTATAAAGGAGACTATTCTCCTAATAATGGTGTAGAACAACTCTAAGGGACTGGTGCAAAGAAGAAAAAATCACGGTCACGTGGGATGGTGGCTGCAGTGAGATCTTTGTTCTGGTGTAAAAAGTCTGGGGTCTGAGGGCAGATAATGGATTTAATGATTGTGTTTAGTCATTAGCACTCCCTGCTCTCAACTTCGGAGACTTTGAATGTGATGTATAGTTTTGTATTGCATCATTTATTAATCTAGTAACTATATAACATACATGGCTGGAAGAGATTTGGGAACAGAGACACAGCTCTGTTCAGTCTTTTGTCCAAACCATAGACCGTGGAATCCTTTCTGTTTGATATCTTCAGTGCTCAGCTGCTCTACTGCCTGCATATCCAGTTTCCAGAGGATGGGATACATTATGGACCTGATCCACTCTGTCTTGTAGCTTAGTAGTTAATAGACTCTTCTGGGGTGCTATGGGATGATAATTCAAAGATTTCAAATTCTGAGTAAGTCTCAATGAAGAATCCTACCCTTAAATTGCCTATTAGTCTGCCATTTTGAAGCTTAGTTGGATGAACTTTTTCCTGCAGCAGGTGAAATGTTTTCGATGATATATAAAGCCCTTGGGTAAAAGATACATCATAAATAAATTATGATGGTCAACATGAAAGTCTATTCACAGCAAATATTGTCAATCAACATGAGCAAGTATTGAGAGAGATTTAAGGCTAAGACTTTTAAAAGAGCATAAGAAATCCATTTCCCTTCAATTTTCAGCAAGGGCTAAAGATATATATTTGTAAACTAAACTAAACTGTTTTAAAAAATCCTAAATTCTCAATAGAGTAAAAAATACAGGATTTTATGCTGCGTGCTGCTGCTGCTTATAGAAATGGTCCAATGTTGATATGTGAATTCCTTTTTTTATCAGACCTTCCTGCATCTTAATATCTCTGGAGAACTGATTTTGTCAGGAGGATTCTGATCCTAACCAACTGTTGCCATGGTATTGGGTTATTCTGGGCTGTGATCAAGAAAAACAAACAAACTTGAGAAAGATACTAGCTTTAAAATATATTCTCAAACCATAGTGCCTGAGACTATTTTTTGAAAACTAAATTTTGATATTTTTTTGTACAGTATGTCAATTATTAAAAGCTTCTGAAAAAAAAACCTACTGCTAACAAGAAGCATTTCTGTGACAATAAACATAAAATGAGAAAAATGCAAGAGGAAGAAATGGGTTAAATTCTTGCACTATTTAAAATTGTTGATTCTCACTTAATGACATTACCCCACGCTGAAGTGAAACCTCCATCTTTTCTGAGACCCTTTAAAAAAGTAGAACTTTTCGCAGATCAGATCCTTGTTTTGTTAGGCACCATTCCAAAACTGATGGCAACCAATGAATATCTTTTTGATATTATTGAGCTTTTGAATTGAATGCATAATAAGGAATCTGTACCTGTCTCCAGTTCCTAGTAATATAGTTTCTTTTACACTGAATTTTAATATTCATTCAGTTGCAAGTCAGTTTGTACTGGCAGCACTGAAGAAGTTTCTGGTAATACATGAGACAATATCTTCTGTATGCAAGCACTTGCATAATAAGTTCACATTCTTAGAGGACAGAGCTCCCTTGATGGGAAAAGAAAAAAAAGTCCTAAGAGAAATCCTTGTTATTGGGGTTGATGAACCCAGAAGGATGCACAAATTTCAGCAAGCAGTGTTTACAAGGGTAAAACAAGCAATGTGAATTTATGCAGGGAACCAGGGAAGTTTTCTGCAAGTTTGTTATTTACAGATAGATCATTTTGTTTGCCAAATTACTGAGTGTGTTCTTCCTGTTCTGCAGGCAGAATTCACAGCCATGAGGGACCAGTATATGCGAGGTGGAGAAGGCTTCATTATCTGCTATTCCATCACAGACCGCCAATCCTTTCAAGAAGCAGCTGAGTTTAAGGAACTCATTTATCGTGTCCGGCACACCTATGACATCCCTGTGGTGCTGGTGGGAAACAAAATAGACCTTGAGGAGTTCAGACAGGTAAGAGACTTCTCTGCTGGATTTGGCTTGGTATTGCTTGGCTGCTTCAGGGGTTTCTGCAGCATGTGTTGTGCAGTGCTAATGAGAATTATTAGCACAAGAAGAGGTTTAAATCAAAAAGCGACAATTAATTAAAGTCTTTGTGGTGCCTTTCATTCATATGTTTTGGAACTTTAAGCAGCACTGGCAAATCACATCTAAACTTTCTCTGCTTTTTTTTTTTTTTTTTTTTTTACTGTTGTCAAAAGATTTATATATATTCATATATATATATTTTTTTTTTTTTTTTTTTTTTNGCTGCCTGCTGCCCTTCTTGGCTCTGCTTCAAACTGCAAACCCAAACAGCAATGACAGCAGCAGACCACTATTTTTAATTATACACCTGGGATAATTTGTTCCCTGAAGAACTCTTTAATTGCTATTTGCTCGACAACCTCACCCCCCCTTTCACAGCAATCAGGTCTTGAGCACCTCACCACAACAGCACTGAGCCCCCTGAAACAGAAGCACACCAATTTTGGAGTCTTTTACTCAGATTCTTTATTTCCACAATCAAGGAAATATAGACATGTAAGAACTGAATAAGTCATCACAGACCCACAGACATAAAAAAAAAAAAAAAAAAGAAATCCATATGAGACTACATCTGCCTGAAGATTCAGTGACTGTGTTTTCAGTGTTCAGGTAAAAAGCGGACATGCAAGACTTGAATTCACTTTGATTTGTATACAAGATTTCAGTTACCACCACCCAAAGAGAAACAGAATTTTTTTGACTACAAGGTCAATGGCTGTGGCTCTCTCAATGTCTTTAATAATCTTTTCTCACTTTTTTCTTTTGCTTTCTCTACTTCTTCCTTACTGTTTGTACTGGTGAGCCAGAGAGAGATCACATTTGAATGGCTTGGTTGTGGCCTGGTACTGAACAGAAAATATGCCTAATCTACAACTAGAACTACTTTCAAATATCTGATTTCTGTGCAGACATATACAACACTTTAAATAAAATGGTGTTTTTTTGGTTCATTAGCATCTGTACTCACACAATCTTATCCACTCTTTTCCACTTATCCTGTCACTCTTCTCCCCATTCTGTTGTCTTCTTTATTCTACCTGAAGAAGATCAAAGACAGCATTGAGCCTGAAATGAGTCTTAAAGATCTGATTATGTACATTTAAAATGTCACATCTTTTTCCAGATCATTTGCTTCCTCCCCAAATCAGGCTGTGACAAAACCCTAATGATGACAATCCAGCTGCAGTTTAACAGGGGTTTCAAACACAGGTGTCATGTGCTTTTACACCAGAAAGGGAGGGATAAGGATTTGGGAAGGATGTGGGTTCTGTTGTTTTGCTGAGAGAACTGGACATTCACTTGATTCCAAAGCAGGATACAATTGGTTACCTACAGTTATCCCTAATGAGCTTTCAGCAGTGCTCAGTTTCCTAATTGGTATCAAGACACTCTTTTAGAGATCTTTGCAACTATCTCTTTCTGATCTCAACTTTTGTTGAACTTTTATATTTTAATCACTGTTAGCATAAATAAAAATATATGCCTGGCTTTTTACATGCTCCTTGGTGATCTTTTCTGATCTCACAAACAGGAAAATTACTGTGCATGAATATCTGGATTTCACCTACAACAGATTAAGGGGCATGGGGAGGGTTTTGGGAAAAATACTAGAAATTAAGCCTGTGAGATGTGATAAACACACTAAAAACTGTTCTATGAAGTCACCACTAACAATTCTGCCTGAATATGGGAACGAGAAAAATCCAAATTGTGGTCCTACATTTTAAAAAGTTTTCAATGAAACAGAATTTAGCTCTTCAGAATGTTTTCCTCCACAAACCCTCTACAAATGCCAACACATTTGACAGTGTCAGAAGAGTTTTCTCAAGTATTCTGCCATCCAGACTTTGACCCTTAAGTCAAAGACTAGTAAGGCAGCGTAGAGCAGATCTGCTCCTTTAAATAAAGCCTTTGAACATGACTATGTGTCCATCATGAACCAACAGTAGAGAAAAGTAACTTTTCATGGAGTCTATATTTTGGGATATTGTTTTTAAATTTCGACTACCTCTACTCTATGGCTGTTGTCTGCATAATTAGTTGGTGCTGAGGTCTCTAAGTTGTGCTCTTAGACTGTATCTTGACTTTAATTTCATTCATTTCAGATTCCACTCTATAATTCAAAGCAAATCCCAGTTAAGTGGGAGTGTTGAGCAGATACTGCTCTGAGTACCTTCCTGACCTAAACTAAAGCCCCAGCATGTGGGATGACACTTCTGTGCCCAGCTTTGAGCACATATTAATGCTTTTCAGTTTCATTATTTCAGAACTAGGACATGAGGCTATGCTCTGTGTTTAACAAATACTGAAATAAGTTTTATCTATGCTCACTTGTAAGGTTAAACAATATCTAAGTAACTGGACAAGCTCTGGATAGGTAGATTGAAAGGGGTCCTTTCAAGGTTGTGCACTGTGGTTATAGCTTCCTTAAAAGCATTTGGATGGTCATGAGAGACAGCCAACTAACTCTACAGTGATAGGCTGCAATGAGCTGCTGATGTAGGGCATTAACATATCAATGAACAGGGAGGCACACAAGCACACCAAGTTCAAACAGCTGAAAAATGGTAGGTGTCACAATGCAATCAGCCAGGTTGGAGTTTGACCAGGGCACCAGGGATAATATTGTTGCTTTGTTTAATGATACTTTCCTCCTATGAATTTCATTAAAACAACTGCAATGTTATTAATGTTATTTCAGGGCATTACATTAAGTTCAACATTCCTGGGCATCACTTCCATTTAGTGGTAATTCTGCAACAATTAGACTGGCTGTAGTGGCTTGGCCAGACAAAGCCTGAAATGTGAATCCTCACACAGTACAGTTAATGATGTATGCTGCTTTCCTCAAATCTATCAACAGGACTAAAGAAAAAAAACTAATCTGCAATTTAAATTGTGACTTTAGAGAAAAAAAAACAAAAAACCAATGAGTTTATTATTTTTAAATATTTTTGGTTTATGATGCCTTTGGTTAAATTATAGTCTTCATGCGTGCCTGTGATTTTTAATGTCCTAAGAAATGGCTTTGTCTATACTCCTTCTTAAAGCAAGTTTTAGTTATATTCACCAGCCTAAAGAATAAACACTTTCAATTTCCTCTGAACAACACAGGGAAAATTGTGTAAAAACTGGGTGGAAAAAGGAGTAAATAATTATCTTGATGTATATGTGGTGGCAAGGCATCATCCCCCAGAGGCATCAATTGCTTAAGCATTCACAAAATCATGGAATGGTTTGTATTGGAAGGGATTTCAAAGCTGATCTCATTTCAACCACTCTGCCATGGGCCAGAGCACCTTTCACTAGACCAGATTTCTCCAAGTCCCACCCAGCCTGGTCTGGAGCATTTATCTGTGTCCTTTCGCTCATTTTACAGCCATTGCTCTAAGAAACACTTAACTATTATATGCATTAAATTCCATAGCTATTTGATAGAAAAATACAGAACTAAATGATAACATTTTCATTTCAGTGTTTTCAAACAGCAAAGCCATTAGATCAGTAAATGTATGCTTGTATGTCTTTAATTATCATCAGATTTTCAGAAATATGTAGGACCAGCTGTTCGAAAATGCTGATACTTTCACTTTAATGCTGATATTTTCACCTTGTCTCTTTACTCGAGATGAACACCTTATTCTTACTGTTTAAAACATGTAACAGATAAATATCTAATTAGAACATATTCATCTTTTAAAAATACATTAAAGCTATTCAAGTTCATGCCATACTAATGTTAAATTGCAGCTTTATGCTAAACAAAATTAATAGTTAGGATCTGTGGCATTACTGAAATGTTGTTTAAAATACAAAAAAGCCTTGACCTACTAATCACTCCAAAATATTAAATATATTGAGAAATTTAAAGGGGAACTACTCAATAATGTGCTGTAAGTCTGAACTGTAAAACATTCTTTCCAGAAGCTTTATTGAACTTTGAATGTAGATGTTAGAACTCCTCTTGAAATGCTAGCCATGCAGAAATATCACAGTCTTCATGGAGCAAATTTTCCTGTTTTTGTTTTTTGACCCCAGAGGAATCAGCTGAGGGCTCAGTTGAGTCCATAGATAATATGTTGATGTCCATTTTGTCTGAAGTTAGGAGGGCAGTTCATGTTTCTTCCAGCTCCTTGCCTTTCTGGGAAACCTGTCATCAAAGCTGTTAGTATGGTTTTTCACCTGAAAAGAATTATGCAGCTGTTTACCCTTTCACCCATGAGTTGCCTTACTGGCTTCAAACAAAAACCTGAGAGCAACAAAACCTTTGAAAGCATTTCCCTCTAGAACACTCTCCTTTAGAAAGAAATAAAAAATAACCATGAAATCTGCCTTATTCATCCAGAACTCTAGTGGCGGAACAAGGGGGAGTGTGTTCAAAGTGAAAGAGTAGGTTTAGATCAGATGTTAGGGAGAAATTCCTTTCTCTGAGGATGGTGAGGCTCTGGCACAGGTTGCCCAGGAAAGCTGTGGCTGCCCCTGGATCCCTGGGAGTCTGTATTTAGGGCCAGGTTGGGTGGGGCTTGGAGCAACCTGGAACACTGGAAGGTGTCCCTGTCCATGGCAGGGGGGTGGAAAATGGTGGTCTTTGAGGTCCTTTCCAACCCAAACCATTCTGTGGTTCTGTGATTCTATTATTTAACATGGAGCAATATATTACTTGGAGTGCAAATGTGTTACAGAGCTTTCATTGTATTTTTTCTCTGAAGTTTTATCATTCCAGAGAATAATTCTCAAACCAAGATTACAGTAAGTTTTCATGACCAGAACCAGCTGAATATTGTCACTTCAATGATATTTTACTCTGTATTTTGCTGAAGATAAGCCAACTGGTTATCAGACAATGTGAATGTCAACTTTTAGGTTTTCATTTTGACAGTTGCTCTATTTTCATGCTTCTCAAACCTCGAAATATCAGTTGAGTC